CTCGGGCTGCTCGGCTCTTAAACAGAGCCGAAGAGTCAGGGGAGGAGCAGAGCCGCCATTTTCCCGGACATGTTCGGCTTTTTGGCAATTCCCCCCGGACGGGGGTTTGACTGCCGAAAAGCCGGACATGTCCGGGAAAAAGAGGACGTATGGTAACCCTAGTAAAAGACCTGGGGGTGTCACTGTAAACAGCTCACTAAAACAACACCTAAATCACCACTATTCTGGATAGATATGCAGGTCTGGGCAGCCCATCCCAGAGATCTAGAAGGAAGAGAGGGGGCCTAGAGATGGTCCCTGCAGAGAGGGGTTGGAAAAAGTAGGACTGCTTAGTACCGATAGTTGTGTAAGAAGGGACATGACAGAGACATACAGAAGAACCAGTGCGCTAGAGATGATCCCTTGGGCTCTATTTATCCTCTCTTAATGGAAGAACAAAGGGATATTTACTGGGTACATCTATGCTGCAATTGAACACCCACGGCTGGCCTGGGTCAGCTGACTTGGGCTCGCAGGGCTCAGGCTATGGGGCTGTTTAATTGCAGTATAGATGTTCGGGCTCAGGCTGGAGCCTAGGCTTGGGACTCCGCGATGAGGAAGGGGTGATGGGTGAGATGGGTGAGTGTAGTGGGGTGGTCCCCCGCTCCTGCCCTGAAGGGCTTGAAACAGCCCAGAAGAGGGCTGTGGCTGGGGCAAGAAGCCTTGGCTGATTGGGGAAAGTGGGCTCAGCTGGCCCCTATAAGAGGCTGTGAGCCAGAAGCCCACTCAGTCTCTCTCTGTGTTCAGGGAGACAAGGGCCTGACTGCAGGGAGCTTAACCAGGTACCTGGAGTGGAGCAGGGCTGGGGAAAGGCCAAGGGAGCTGGGGAGCTCCGGCCTAGGAAAGCCCCAGGCTGCAGGCCTGGTAAGGCCTATTAGGTACTGGATTGCAGGGGGCAGCCCTTGGGTAGCCAGAGGCAGTAGGTCCAAACCCCTTTGCCTGTGATGAGTGGCTTATACTGCAGTCTGCCCCAATGAACGGGGGGCTAGATGGAGACTGGGCAGTAGCCAGGGCCGGCTCTAGCGTTTTTGCCACCCCAAGCAGCAAAAAAAAAAAAAAAAAAAAAAAAAAAAAAAAAAAGCCGCTTCATTCTACGGCGGCAGGTCCTTTGCTCTGAGACGGAGTGACAGCCCTGCCGCAGAATTGCTGCCGAATGGCTGGAGGTGCTGCCCCCCTCTTCATTGGCCGCCCCAGGCACCTGCTTGCTACGCTGGTGCCTGGAGCCGGCCCTGGCAGTAGCCAAGACTGAGGCAAAGTGGGGATAGTTGGTGGGGTTTGGTTTGTTCCTTCAGCATAGGCCTAGAAGTTGGGGGGAGCAATCAAATTGTTTAGCAAGGGATGGTAAAAGGAACAGACTGGAGGTGTCTGACAAATTCTTTCTCAAGAGATGCTCAGAGGAGTAAGTAGCAGTCTAGGAGAGCCAAGATGAATGATAGAGGAGCAAAAAGAAGCCTCAAGACTTGGGCTCCCCTGTGTTTATTAAAGCTTGTCAGTTCCACTTTCATGTAGTCTGATCCTGTAGTAGATCTTATATTGCTTTTCTTAAATTTTGGCCAAAGGTCTGTACTCTTCCAGATTATAGATTGTCCTATCTTTGTTCCTCCAGGAAATGGAGGAATAATTTGTATACTCCATATTTCCATGGTATAAGACCTTCCAATTTATTATAGCTAGGTTGGGGTTTTCTGTTACTCACAGTAATAGCGTGGCACCCACCTCTCATGAGCACCCCTTCTGGTTGGGTGTGCCTGCAGTCTTTAAACCAGTCCCAGCCCTGGTATTGGGCCGTACCCCCAGGGCTTCCTCCCTGAAGGCAATGGTTTCACTCTCTTGATCTACTCTGGCCCCAGCTCTCCAGCCAGGTCACTAAGTAGTTCTTTTCCCCTTCTGAGGGTTTCTCATTGTCTGGTTGTAGGCCAATTTCCCAGTGATCAGGGGTGGGGGGACCTGGGCCCACCCATTTCTCTGGGTCCCAGCCCCGGGACCCTAAGAATAGCAGCCATACATTGCCATGTCCCTTTAACTATGTTGCTTTCAGTTCCCTGGGCCACTTCCCCATGGCCCCAGCCTTTACCAAAGGTTCACCCTTAGCTCAGGGCTCTTTTACATTCAGGCCCAGCAGCCAGCCAATACTCTTCCTTGCTCCCCAGGTCCCTGCCAGCACTGAGCTGTCTGTGTTGCTACAGTTCCCTTTAGCCAGCCAGGAGTGCCATCTGCACTCATCTAGCTCCAGCAAGAAAGTGCTTATCTCTGGCTCTGCAGCTCCTTTTATATGGCCCTCCTGGGCCCTGATTGGCTGCTTCCTGCAGCCTCTCTCATTTGCTGCTTCCTGCACTGTCCCTCTAGCCCGTTTGGAGGGTCTCTCTACTGCTCCTTTCCTGGGACAGATGTGGCAGGACCCTGAGGCCTCTAGCAGGGGGCCTCTGGACCTAGTCCACCCTGTCACACTCAGTTATTATTGATATCTCCTGCATCCATGATCATACATGGATGCAGGAGAGTATATGCTCAACAAGAGAGTGACAGATATTACCCAACAAGATGATCTAGTATGAGTCATGAGTCTTAGTTTGCCTTTTGGTTTTCTATTTTGAAGACAGTCCATGCTTTTTAACCATATTTGAATGAATTATCAAATCCTCATTTACGTAAGGTATATAAAGTATATACTCAGTAAAGATCTCACACCATGGAAACTACTGTCCTTAAAGGTAAATACAGAAAAGTCCCTTTATGTCTGTGTTTTTGCCCATGTAAATCTGGAGTGTTGGAAGATTTACCTCATTATCTTTTGGACTGTAGAATTTTCCAGCTTTTGAAAGCACGCTGAATTTTACTCTTTTCGATAATAAATAATTTTTATCATCATCTCAGAAGATAATGTTTTTAGTATGTTCTCAATCCCTGGTAGTAATGAAATCGGTGGCAATTTTTGCCCTTTTAGCATTGTCTTGAAGAAGAGAGGTTTTTAAAGTTCTGATTGACATGTTATTGTATTATATGGATGTTGGTGTTGTTTTTAGATTGTGAATGTTTTTCTTTTTGTATTTGCCAAGGATGTATGTCATATCAATTGAATTGAATAGTCTGACCCCCCTCCTCCCTGACTGCTGTGTGTATATTACGTCTAGGATTCCCATAGCAGATACCTTGTTGGTGTTTGCTATGAGAAGGGCCTTGGAGTACAACAGAACTTCGCAGAAGCAATGGAGCATTACCAGCACTCGGCTGCTGCAGGAAACAGACATGCTCAGGAGAGAGTGCAAGTTGTTGAGCAGGAGATGGCAGGTACTACAGCATCAGAGGTTCAGGGCAAAAGGGACATGCCAAAGGCTCAGGTAGCATTCCCATGTAGGGGGAAGCTCCTGTCACCAGAGGCTGGGACCCCATTAGTGGGAAGTCCCTGTCACCAGAGGCCCTGACAATGCTGCCGTGAGGGGAGACACCGCAGCTGTCGATGTTGCTGCAGTAAGGGTCTCTCCTCTTGTTCTCCACCCTGCCCTGTGCTCACTGGTTGGTTGTTGAGGATGGTGAATGGTGGGATTGCTCACCTGCAACCCGAGGGTTTCAGTAACGTCTCCTCTTTGTGGGCTTGACAGCTGCAGAGAGCAGCCATCCAGCACCTTCTGGAATGAGAGCGTTCTCCTCCAGCCCCTGCCTCTGGGTCCTGGAGCAACTAGCAGAGCAGCGCCAGGCCTCTCCGATGGGATGTCGTGCTTTACCCCTGCCCCATTCCTGGAGCACAGGCAGCCTGGCAGGGGCTGACGTCAGCTGACTGAGATGGAATCCAGCCCCAGAACACTCGGCAAGTCTATTGGATTCTTCCCGCCTGGAGCCACAGCCAGTGCTCTATTCTCAGGGGATAGCACTTGGCTAGTAGGTACAAATGGAAACAATCCCTTCCTGTGGAAATCATGCCCAAGAGGTGCAGTACCGTTCTCCCGTAACTCCACCTGCCCTTGGGGAGAGGCAGCAGTGTGGAGGGGACGGGGTGATGGCGGAAGGGGGTGGGCTATGGTGTATGGAGAGGAGGGGGCAGTGCAAGTTCTCTAATGGAACAGGAATGATACAGGTGCTTCCAGAGCAGTCTCCCTGTGCCCTACTGGTACTACTCTGCACTACCTGGCCTAATTTCACACTGCCCCAGCCAACCCCGGGCCCCAGCTCCTCCACTCTGACATGGCCCAGGGGCCTAACTACATGCATTCACACAGCCCAACCCTAGGGTTACCATATTTCCACAAACAAAAAAGAGGACACTGGGGGGGGGGGGGAAGCCCCGCCCTAGCCCCGCCCCGCCCCATCCACTCCCTCCCACTTCCCACCCCCTGACTGCTCCCCTCAGAACCCCAACCCCCCCTGCT